TCACGAATTCGTTCTGGTATTGAACGAATAAGGTTCATGCAGGTTTTAACATCAATTTCCTGCCAAACCACCTGAATCTTTTTTCAAAGGTCTGTTTCACTCGAAATTTGGCCAGGAAGGTTCCTAAGATGACGGTCAACCTCAAATCATAGGTGTTTAATAGGTTTAAGGTCAGAAGATTGGGGGGCCAATCAAAAATCTTGATCCTATTTCTTCTAAGCCAACATTTTGTCAAGGTCACGTATGACAAGTTGCACTATCTTGTTGGAATATAATATCCCTAACATCAAATCTGTAATCCTCGATAGTTCACATCAAATCTTCATGAAGTATTTGCCAATATAGCTCACTATCCATTGTACCATTAACTTTGCAAAAGCTACCAACGCTACGGCAGGTAAAGCAACCCCAAATCATAACAGAGCCACCCCCATATTTTACTATAAGCTTTACATAAAACTTGTTTAATGGTTTCTCAGGACATTTCCAATAGTACTGCTTACCATCTGACCCAAAAATTTGGAATCTTGACTCGTCGGACCAGATTATCTTTGACCAGTTTTTGACAGTCCAATTTTCATACTTTTTTGCAAATTTGAGCTGTTCTTTTTTATGATAGTCACTCAGATAGGGCTTTTTTTTTTTAACCTCCGACACTAAACCATGGCTTCGAAGTATACGACGAATAGTAGACTCCAAAATATCAAGGTTTTCTTTTTCTCTCAGGTAGGACCGTACTTGCATAGTAGTAGAGTAGCGGCAGGAGGTAACTAAGTTCACAATCCTTCTTTGGGCTGGTTCACCCAACAAAGGTGGATGACCAGCCCTTCCTAAATCTTCAAGTGAGCAGGTTTCTAACCACTTTTTTTTGATATGGGAGACCATGGAACAACTAATATTGTGGGCCCGACCTATTGCCTTTGTAGTATATCCTTTTTGAAGCAAAATTAATATTTGGGCTCATTTGTCAGGAGTCGTATGGTTCTTTTTTTTTTTGTTTTGATTATCAATAAGTTCTAACATTGCACAAGATGCAAAATTAACAATGAAAATTACGTTTTTATATGTATTTATGTGGCACAAGTCACACCATATGATCTTTGTCAAAAACAAGCAAAAATAATGCAACACGTGTTTTGTGATACACACATGATTATTTTTGCATCGGCAATAATAATGACTACTAAAATTCTAATATTTGAAAAAGATACTGTTTGCGAATTAAAGAAAAAAAAAAACTAACAGATACGCCCGGAATTGAGTGAGATAACACGATCTAACTAAAATTTTTTTTTGATCCATTATTTATGATTGCCACTGTATTATATAATTGGAAATTTTACTTTGTATTCGCAGCGTCCACTTATGCGAACCTGGGTTACACTCGACGCACTCTTGATGCACTTTCGACACACTAAACAAGGTAGGGTAGCTGTTAAAAATCAACAAAATCTCTGCTTGGCAGACTACGACGTCCTACTTTGGCCGATCTAATTTGGGATGGCTCCCTATTACTAATAATAAGCCCACGGGCACCCGCGGATTTTGCGGGCCAAGTTATGGTATCAAGTTTTGAGTCCTAGAGTAAAGGTAAGGGCTTGGAAGTCAAGTCCTTACACAGACGTGTAGGGCAAGGGTATTGCCATTACCTGACTTTCTCATTACACTTCATTTACTGTATATTCTTCATTTAAACGATTTAGATATTCATTTCTTTTTTTAAACAAATTAATCGATATTTGTGTCTTAAATAAAGTTATTCAAGATATATATTAGAAGTTTCACGTAATTTGAATAAAATTTCTATTAATTCACCTTCGCATTTTACCTTTATATGAAAAAAATTTTAAAATTTATCTTGTAAATGTAAAATGCGAAAATAAATTAATAAAAAATTATAAACTTTTATACAATTAATGATCCCGAATAACTTAAGGCACAAATATTAATTATGTATAATACGGGTTCGTTTTTCCAAACCTTAGCGTTTCTAAAGTGCTGCCATTATTTTAGACCGAATTTATACGTAGTCTCATGTAAAAATCAAGATTTAAATTTTTATGAAAATTATTAAGATACCCCAATAACTACTATGCCAAATTCGACAAACTTTTTTTCTTTGAACTCTATAGATTCATAGTATTCAAAAAAAAAAAGTTCATCGAATTTGGCTCAGTAATTGTTGAGATATCTTTGCTCAAAGTCAAAACGTCTATAAAAACAGCAAAATTTTCTTTAAAATTTGAGCGAAGATATCTTAGCAACTACTAAGTCAAATTCGATGAACTTGTTTTTTGTTTGAATTCTATGAATCTATAAACTCAAATAAAAAAAAAGAAATTTATCGAAATTGACTTAATAGCTACTGAGTTATCTTCGCTCAAAGTTTTAAAAAATTTTCAAAACGTCAATTAAAACAAAAGCTGCGCCAAAATTTTTTTAAACTTTTGAATGAAAATATCTCAGCAACCACCAAGCCAAATTCAATGACCTTTTTTTTATTTAAATTCTATGAATTCATAAAATTCAAATGAAAAAATTCATTGAATTTAGCTTGGTGGTTCAAATTTTAGAAAGAAATTTTTTTAAAACTTTGAGTGAAGATAACTCGGTGACTATTAGAGAGTTTCAAAACTAATAGTTTGGCACCCGACTTGATAAAGTGAGTGACGTATTTACGTGATCCATAAATCCTTTTTTTTTTTAAAGTATCACTTATTTGCTTTATCGTTTGCCGGTAAATATTTATTAAAGCTAAGTTTATTAATGTGTTCGCTATTTAATTCCCACTTATTTTCAAAATAAGTTAACCCTATTAAGTCAAATTCAATAAATTTTTTTTTATTTAGATTCTATAGATTTATAAAATTCAAACAAAAAAAAAAGTTCATCGAATTGATTTAGTAGTTGATGAGATATCTTCGCTCAAAGTTTAAAGAAAATTTTGCATAGCTTGTTTTGATTGACGTTTTGTTTTTTTTCAAACTTTGAGCGAAGATATCTCAGCAACTATTGGTAAATTTGATGAACTTTTTTTTATATTTGAATCCTATGCATCTATAGAATTCAAAGAAAAAAAGTTTGTTGGTAGTTACTGAGATGAGATATCTTCAAAGTTTAAAAAAGGTTAAATCTGCGGGGGTTATGAATAATAAATTTGGAGGTACAAAAAATAATTCTCTTATTAAAAGTTTTAAAATTAATAAGAAAAAAAACGCACTTTGGTATAAAGCACAGGTTCTGTTGAATAATTTGTAAATTTTTTAGACCATTAAATATGTAGGTTAGGAAGATGCAATTTGAAATTTAATAATTTTTTATAATCGTTTTATATACTGTAAATTTCAAAATGTATTCCCATCGGTAAATTTATATATTAAAAAATTTTCTCGATTGCTTAGCAGAATCCATACTTTAAACTAAGAGTTTTTTTAAAGAGGCATTCTACTTATTATGTGAAATGTTGTCTGATTATTACGCGTTTTATAAAAAATGAAAATAAAAAAAATATGTATACTGTTTAACAAGTGTTTAATGTGATAAATTTATGGTTTATCTTCAGCATTTTCAAGAGATACAGCATTTAAATGTTGAAAAATTAATTATAACTTTTACAATTATTGGTATTACATTTTCAATCTATAAAGCTTTCTATCTATCAATACATTGCATAGAAAAACATGATAGCAAGATTTATCCAAAATTTATATCTTGTATTTATTTGACAACAAAGTTAGCAAATAAAACCTAGATATGCTTTAATGTTTTTTGCAACATGTTTTCGTATTTCTTCTCTTTATTCGACTCGTTTTTGCCGTCCTAAGTAAACCGCAATTATCAGTGCAAGTAATTATAAAAATTATCATTTTATTTCAACATACCTCTTATTTGTTTTTAAACAATTGTCAAGATGTGAATTTATGCGCATGTTTGTGGGTTTTTTAAAGATTTTATCACATTTTGGACATTTCCAATCAATACTCGTCATTTGAAGGCCCGGGTCGTTTTCGGAGTTTTCAGGAATATCTGATTCATAAATTTCACTATTTGTATCTTCAGGTTCAACTATTCCAATTCGTTCTTCCGGTTCAATTCGTTCGTCTTGTTCAATTCGTTCATCTTGTTCAATTTGTTCGTCTTGTCCAATTTGTTCGTCTTGTTCAATTCGTTCATCTTGTTCAATTTGTTCATTTTGTTCAATTCGTTCGTCGAGTTCAATTTGTTCGTCTAGTTCAATTCGTTCGTCTTGTTCAATTCGTTCGTCTAATTCATCTTGTTCGTTTTGTACAAAATAGCTTGAATAGATTACACCTTGTTCAAAATCACTATCAATTATATCTTCAGCATTTAAACATGTATCCAGATGTTCGTTAATTTGAGAAACTTTTACATTTGGAAACTGTTTATTACAACCAGGGCAAATATATTGCTTAAGAACAGTTGGTACAGGATACCATTTATGTTTTTCACTGGTTTCCTGAGTTAAAGTACAAGAAGTTGTGGTAGATTCACGTTCTGTCAATTGTTCGACTACATTTCTTCGAGCGGAATTATGGTTTGATGCATTCGAAGTTCCAAATGGTTCAATGTTAAGACGTTGTTTTTTAGTTTGTTTTTCCTGGTCATTCGTATCTTCTTGTGTCGAAAACCACTTTTAAGAAAAGAATTATTTTTTATATAATTTTGGATAAAATGAATTGCTAAAACAAAATTAATGATATACCCTTTTCAAACAACTACTCTCAGGTTTTGATGTTCTTGGTGGTTCAAGTTCAGACACTTTAGGAATTGTTGATTGTTTTGGAGGATTTTGCTGTTTAAAAAACCACTTTCAAATTTTTATATTAAATAATCGAAATAAATAGATATTTTATATTAGAAACGAAAGAAAGTGAAACGTAAAACAACTATGTATATACTTTATTCAGTCCACATTCATCATTGCGTGAGCGTAAATTAGATATTCGAACACCCATAAGCCTTATATTTAAGGGCAGTTCTTGCACTAATATCTGTCATCAAAAAAAAAAAAAAAAAAAAAACCGAAATCAATACCATGAAATATAGTATAAATTAAATTCCAAATGGGTTTAAATTGAATAATACTTGTTTTCCAAAATGATATAAATCATCAGCCTTATATATATATCTTTTAAGAGATTTTTCGCGCGTAGTCACTTTGAAACTAACAGATTTGAATGTTAACGCAATAGTTTTTCCCTGCATTTTAAATTATTAGTCAAATACTCTTTAATGATACCCTAAAATTCATATAATGTATCGTAAAGTTCATTACTTACGTGGAGGTATTCTTTAGCAAGGTCAGCAGCAAGATGATCAACTAATTCGCGAAGTTTAGCTAATAAGTCATTAGGTTGGCTTATGCTGTAGAAAGTTCTAGTAGAATACATAAATCAGTAAATTAGCATTAACGTTAAGATTACTAATCAATTTAAAATATCTTACGAACCTTGATATGCTCATACTTTTCCGTTTATATTCTCTGAACAATGATAGTTAATGATGTAATTATAATAATTATAATGAGAATTAAGAGCTAAATAATAATAATAATGGTAATAAACTTTACGATTTAACAGTAGTCGATCCAATTCCAAGTGCCGACCGTATGAAAAAATTGAATGAAACCGATGAAAACATCCTATATATGTAGACACTATTGTCGAGTATTGCACCACATGTGCTAATGTCTATATCCTTCAAAATTCTTTCAGTGACTCGACCAATACCTTGACGAGTGGGTTTTAAGATAATTGTTTATTTAATAAATAAAGAATTGAAATATATGCGAAAAGAACTTACCAGGGATTTTACGAACAGGAAGAGGTCGAATAAATCTCATGATATCATTAATATTATTTGGAAGTCGATATTGCCCGTTTGGTTTGTTAAGATCAGAACATATTTTAGACAATAACATGTTAGCGGCGATACCTGCACTAGCTGTCAATTTTGTCTCTTCATATATTTCTTTCCGGATTTGCTCAACTACTTCGTCGGGTGTTTTATCAGTTGTTTTAAGATATTCTGTAATATCTAAGTATGCTTCGTCCAAGCTCATTGGAGTATAATTTGGATCATAACGAGCAAAAACCTCACGTATTTGCTTCGCAACTGCATGATATTTGTCGAAATTACATGGAACTATAATAAGTTCTGGGCATAGCTTTTTAGCAATGAAACCTGGCATAGCACTACGTACACCAAACTGAAATGATAAAGACATTATTTGATTAATGTTAATTAAATTTTGCGTTTAAAAAAACTTTTTTACATATAAAAAATTTTTGATAGATTAATCATACACGTCTGGCTTCGTAGTTCGATGTGCTCAACATAGAATTACTTCCAACAGCCATTGGTTTGCCACGCAAAGAAAGATTATCTCTTTCTTCGACTGCCGCATAATAAGCGTCCATGTCAATGTGCACTATTATGCGAGATAAGTCCCTCTTACATTCAATAGCCTGCACCAAACTATTAACTTTATTATCAAAACTAGATAAATCTTGTCTTCTGAGAGCTTCGTATTTTTTTAATAGCTGTTCAGTTTTGTGCTTTAGAGCCTCGTCCTTTCTGACTTCATTGAGATAGAACGCTGAGTTCTAAAAGTGCATGTAACCAAATATAAATAAAACAATTATAATACATGAATGAATGCTTGAAATATACAATTATGAAAGATTTTACCTTTGAAGCTTCGTAAATAACTTGATTAACTTTTTCTTTATTAATTCCTTGTAACCCCGCCTTGTTTGAGGCAAGGTCACCCATTCTAGAACGCACCGATTCATCATTATTTTTATCAGCTGTGGAATGCTCAGCATTCGATAACGAAACGGATGATGAACTGGAATTGATTTCCTCTTGATCAGTCAGTGGTTGAATGTCATTTTCTTCAGAAAATTGAAATTCCGTATCAGGTTCTTCTCCAATTAAAAAATCTTGAGAATCAAAAATATCATTTCCATCAAATTCCATTTTAGTACATTTTAACTATATACTTTATACGCATGAATGGTAAGTAATTAGTACAATAAATCAAAGTACACTATATGAAATTATTTATTGCAGTCGTCTATCAAAAAATAAAAAAAAAGTTAAAAGGAGTGAAAGGATTTAATTTGTCCTTTTGACCGCCTAGTGATCAAAATAATACAGTAATACGATGATTTTCTGCGCCAAGACCGCAGTTTTGTACTCTGTCGTATTGTCAAGCAACATCCCCGGGTTCAAATATAAACAGATAAACAATACTTCTATTGATGGCATAGTTCTAGAAAGTTCTATATTTTAAATCCGGGTTATTGAATTAGTATGGTAATTATCCACGAGCGTTGAAAATACATAAATTTCAAGATTTTGCCAAAAGGAGAACAACTATCACTATAACTCGTGTATCTAAATAGCATACGTATATCGATATGTATTTGAATTTAATTTAACGTTAATTTTTTTTATCTTTCCACTCTTCTCTAATCATCATTTATCTCTAGTAGTCATCGTTATTTTCAGTCCATTAGAAACAAAGAAAAATATTTTTATGAGAAATGAAATATTTTAAATCTTTACTACACACAAAAAAGTCAAATATCTCATTTTTGCTATATAATAATTTTGTTAATTATACAGTCAACTACCGATATAACGGAAATCTGGGTTCTGTTATATAGTATGTTTGCAAATTTCAAATATTAGTAAAGTAAAAAGATAATAAAAAAGCAACCCCCAAAAGATTATTTATGCATATGTAACGGAATATTGCTTGGCGACCATTAAGATTCTTTCATAATAAAATTTGTTATATGAAGTTAATAATTTAATTATAAAATTTGCAAATGACATTATACTAATGTACCAGTTATAACTATTTTAATTACTAAATTTTGGTATTTCAATTTTGGTCCATTAAGCCGGTGAATTCGGTGTAAGGATTCCA